CAAAAGATGCAAATATTATGAGCGACCAAAATACTAGCAAACTTTCCGTTTTAGTCACTTAAAACGAAAAAATCTAAAGGACTTACTTTATGTACATACGGATGGGAAATTGTAACTATAGTAGCAGTGAAAAGTGTCGCACTCCGGAAGTCTACGTGTCCCGTTCAAAACATCTCGGCTACACAAGTGAAACCAATCTTTAGTTCCACAACAAACCACACACTTCGGCTGAAACTACCACTAAGTTTAATTAAAATGGTGTATTTATTTCATGTCTAAATTATTTACTTAACCATTAAATCGGAGATTTTGAATAATTTGTATAAATTTAGGCATTTTCCTTCCATTCGAGTTGCTGATATAGTCGAGCCACTGTTGCAGTTGCACCAAATAAACATGGCGACTTCTCCCCCGTTAGCTAACGTGAAAAATCTTTCAAAGGAAATCTCTGCAATGGAAGCAGACGAGTCTTCAGTCTCAAAGGACGAAGGGGCAGACAAAGACAACATTACTTCTGGAACTGAACTGGAAACTGAGGACCAGTTTAAGAAACCGACTCTTTTCGCTGCACCTTCTCTGAGCAGCAAGCGCGTGAATGTCGTCTCATCTAAAATAACGACGTGCGAAGTAAGCGTGAAGGAAAATGACACAGCTGATGCTACGATTGACGGCGATAACCCTCCTGAATCTGCCCCGGAGAGTGAAACTGCCGGCAAACACACAGAAGATGAAAAGCGGAGCGAAAAAGACAAATGTGTGTCTACTCTGAAGGACAAACCAAACGTCAAACCAAAGGTGCTTCCTGTCAAAGGACCCCCAGCTGGGAAGTTTCCCCCTCTACCTTACGTGGAGCCGCCGTGGGGCGGCACAGCTCCGAGTGTACACTATGCTCTTGAAATCCTTAAAAACGGAACTATAGTTGACACAGTACCACTAACGTGTAGAAGTTTCTGCGTAGTCGGACGTTTACCAGTGTGTGACGTGTCTCTGGAGCACCCATCCATCTCTAGGTACCACGCTGTGATCCAGTACCGCGGGCAGGCTGGGGAGAGCGACTGTGTCGGGGAGGAGAGAGGCTTTTACATCCACGACCTGGGCAGCACACACGGTACTGTGGTGAACAAGAACAGGATCCCACCCAAGACCTACGTCAGAGTCCGGGTCGGCCATGTGTTAAAGTTTGGAGGAAGCACAAGACTGTTTATCCTGCAGGTATGCACGGCCATCACATCACTTTAAACAAAGAAAAATGAGAAAAGCATCAGTTAAGGTAGACTGATGAGTATATATTTGGACTGAAATTATTGCACATCTTTTACCAGATGTGTATATTTTAGAACAGATTGTGTTTTTATGAATAAATAAAAGCAACACTGTTGTAATTCATACAGAAAATAGTAATCATTCCTACCCATCAGAGCCTTGTCTTCAGTAACTAATTTTTTATCATGCATATGGGATAATAAAGCATTCTGGTGTCCAATGATTATATAAAATCAAAGAAAAAAGTCTTAATCTTCACTCTGCTTTCACAGGGTCCAGAGTCTGATGAGGAAGAGGAGTCAGCGCTAACTGTGACGGAGCTAAGAGAACAGGCACGCAAACAAAGAGCAGAGTTGGAGAAAAGGATGATGGGAGATGGTTCTGATGATGATGATGACGACGAGGAGAAGAAGGATAACGAAAACAGGAGCCAGAGCAAACTGTCCGAAGATTCGGGGTGTTCATGGGGAATGGGTACGTTTTGTTGTAACTGTGTATGCTGTGTGGTCATCTTAAATCATTTGGTCTGAAAATATCTGTGAGAGTTACTAACATCACTTCTCCCTGAACTCCACATTTGTGTCTCTGCAGCTGATGAGGTTTTTCCAGAGGAGGATGAGAATGAAGAAAATCCATTCTCTACAGAGTTCCAGGAGGACCAAGAGGCGGCATACTTGAAAGACCCCAAAAAGGCTTTGCAGGGCTTCTACGACAGAGAAGGTAAGAACACATCAAATATATATTTCATACATTAAAAACAAAACTTTCATACTCAACTGAAATTGTGCTGTTGTTTCAAAATATCTCAGGGGAGGAGCTGGAGTTTGAGTTTGAAGACAAGGGCCATGGCATCTGGCTGTGCAGGATAAAGTAAGAGGCTGTAACGACTAGGCCACATGTCTGAATATGTTGTTTTAATGCAGTGGCTCCCAACCGTCGTCTTGCTTGTGACCCCATTTTGACATCACAAATTTATGTTGAACAATTTCATCAGTAATCTTTTTTTTTTATCGCTTACTAGATGTTTAAGACACACCTCATTTGAATTCAAAGTGGCCCCAGGTGGGGTCAACCCTAAGGTTGAAAGACAGAGTTATAATGCATTTCTTTCCTTCCTCGTCAGATTACCTGTAGATGATGCCTTGGGTCGACAGCTGGTTGCTGAGGTGACCCACACAGGGAAGAAGAAAGAAGCGACAATCCAGTGCTGCCTGGAGGGGTGTCGGATGCTGGAGGCCAGAGGCCTTCTGCGCCAGGAAGCAGGTGAGAAGCCTAAAACTAAGAGAGATGTCACTGCCCCCTGCAGGCTGTTTAATTTATTGCATTGACCGTATGACTCTCCAACCATATCTCACACTCTCCCTTGGTGTCTTTTCTGTTCAGTGTCCCGTAAACGCAAAAAGAAGAATTGGGAAGATGAGGACTACTATGACAGCGACGACGACACCTTTCTAGATCGTACTGGTACAGTGGAGAGGAAGAGACAGGAGCGAATGAAAAAGGCAGGGAAGATCGAGGAGCGGCCTGAGACCTTCGAGTCCTTGGTAAAGACTTTCGTAAAATCGAAAGAATTTGCTTTTTGATATCATTGTCAGTCCAGGTGTATTTTAACATAGTTGTTCCAACAATATATAACTTTAAAAATCAAATAACCTTCCTGTGTTTTAATCAAAGGTGGGCAAACTGTCCGAGGTGGAGAGAGAGCTCGATCGCGCTCAGAAACAACTGAGTACCAGTAGAGGAGGTGAGTCCTGGTCACTTGTCTTCTTTGTATCACATTTAAATTCTACACCCATTACTCTTTTTTTTCTTTTTTTTTTTAACGGTGGTCAGATTCTTCTGGCCTGTCCACCGAGGACTCGCTGGAGGCCTTCATGACGGCAGTTAAGAGCAAAGCACCAATGGATGCAGTGGAGCGCAGGAAGCTTCACGTTCACGTGGCAGACCTGCGCAAAGAAGTTCAGCGACTGCAAAAGCTGGTGGAACTCACAAGACCTGCACAGATGCCGTCTCTGCTGCCAAGGTAGAAGATCATACTGTTGTCCGTTTGCCTGCTGGATGTTGTGGGTCAGATTTGTTCATTTGTATTTTTAGTTTCTAAATATTAAGGATTTTTATTGCCACACATGGGAAATCAGTGGCATCTTTCAGCCAAAATGGTTTTTCAGTCAGAGGCGAACACAAAGCTTCTATCTGTACAAAGATTTGAGGACCTCTAATATATGAGACATACATAATTATCCATGACTTAATGTGGGAATTTTGCCCATTGATCCAGCAGAGCATTTGTGATTGGTTGATTATTGTAGGGAGTGGGGCTGTGTATAAAAACTATTTTTCGTTGTTGAGTAGCCTCTGAGTAAAAACCTCACCAACTTTCTCCCATTAACGTACCATTATCATTCAACAGTTGTAGGTCTTCCCTTTGGTTCCAAACAGTGCCTTCAACCTTCACCTTTCTGCTTTTGAATTCAGAAAACTAATTTTAAAGCTAAAGATGTTGTATTTGAGGATATAAAGCTACCTGATCATCCACTGTCCACCTTTTCTGACGTGTGTTTGTGATGTAGTGGCAGTTCACAGTCAGAGAAGCCCAAGAAAAATTTACCGCTGTTCGGAGCCATGAAGGGAGGACGCAAATTCAAACTGAAGACTGGCACCATCGGGGTCAGTGTCCTTATTGGACTATAACGTCTGTCTAATGTCTGAACACTCCAGAGTCACAGTTTTCTGCCATGTTCTTTCCGCTTCTCAAGACATTGCCCCCAAAGCGGCCCAACCTGCCCGCAGAGCTTTTCAACACAAAGGATCTTCCACCTGAAGGAGAAGTTGAGGAAGAGGAGGAAGAAGAGTCGGCACAGACAAAGAAGGAGCAAAAGTGTTCCCCGGTTAAAGCCGACGATGAAGCGTCTCCTGAAATGGTGTGTGAAGAGGAAACGTCATCAGTGCAGAAAAGAGAAACACATTCCAACGAGATGAAAGGTAACGAGCACAAGAAAATTGTTTTTGTTTTTTTGCAACACATTAAGTGTAAGAAATGTGCGTTTTTGAGATGAAATATTGTTACTGAGGATGTTGAACTGTAAACATGCATATTTGACCTTTAATACATGTAGATACATGTCATACTTTTGTAAAAAAACACTAGTGTTGTATTTAGGTGAGCTATGTAAAGCTCAGCTAAAAAGGCAAGTTTTACATAAAAATGTCAGGTTAATGTCACAGGTAAATTTGATCTGATATCAAACATAGACAAAGACGTCAATTTTTGGGTTAACCGTAGGGATGGCTCGATCTGATACTCAGGATATTGGTCAAAATTTTCAGATCAACATCGAAAAAACAACTACAGCCCATTTGACCCTATACCTAAGCCCAACTGCTCGACTTAAATATGCAATTTGTGATTAGTGCTTTTTTCCTTGTCTTTTTTGTTGTTGGAAAATGTCTGGACTTTTTCTTCCAGAATCCAGTGCAGAGGTCGTCACAGAGCCAGCAGCTGAGCCCGGTCCCAGAAGGAAAAAGAAAGTGTATCGACCGAGCAAGGTCTGTTTTTACAGACACACACACACTCACATACACAAAATAAATAATATCTAGCCCTTCAATACACTGCATTCTCGACCTTGTGTAAACATGTGGTTTTTAATCTGTGGACTTGCCCTGCTTACAGAATGTAGTGACTGGAATTTGTGCAGATCTCCTCTGTAGAAAGTTCACATGAATCTAGTTGGCAAACTATCACGTTAGTTGCACGATTTTCTTCAAATTTGTATAGTTTACAGCATGGGTCTTATGGTCCCAGCTCGTGGGCCCCTTCTGGTCTGCAAACCCCCAAATCCAACCTGCAACTAGATGTCAATAATGATTTAATTTTGACCTTGAAAAAAAAGTTAAATATATTTTTAAATTGACAGGACTGTCAGGGGTTTAAAACCAACTTAACTGGTTTTCACATCCGTGAAAGAGCTTAAATTGTGGCTGACAATGTTTCAGACATAAAAAGTAACTAATTAAAATTCCTATTTAAAAAAAACTGTGAATGGAGCTTAACTGCCAAGGCCGCCCCGTGTGAATTACCTCATGTTGTGTCTCTACAGGCAGCAGTGCAGCTGTCTGCACAGTACCCAGATGATGACCCAGATTATTCTGTGTGGGTGCCTCCTTCAGGTAAACAGTCTGACCTGATTATCTTCACTGTCCCTGTCACTTTACAAACCCTTTCCTGAGTAGAAGTTTCATTGCTAAAATAAAGATTTTAAAAATAAAATAAATGGCTGCAATGCAGACATGACCTAAGTCAGTGGATAATTCCAAGAGTGGCGAGAGACAGTTCTCATACTTCTGGAACAACGCAGAAGGAAAGAAAGGAAAGGAAAAGTGAACTCCTTGTCAGTGTGACACAGCTCATCACTGCACACAACCAAATGTGACCTCTGTTTTTAACCCATCACCAAAGTGAACAGTGGCAGCTTTAAGAACCAGGGAGCAGTGAGTGGGGACAGAGCCATGACAGAGGACCTCAGTGAGGTCCATCTGGACCCAACCCCGCTTCCTTTACCACTAAACCACTTTCTGCCCCTTTAGAAAGAACTGACACTGATGGGTTTAGGTCTGAATGAATCAGAAGATCTGTTTAGGTTAGAAAATGTATTCAGATTTTCATAGTCAACACACCAGTGGTCAGGGGTGTATTCATGAAGGCATCCAGTGTAAATACAGAGCAGTATGTGAACTAGGGCATTGAAGAAGGTACCAGAGATGGCTCGATCGGATATTCAGGATCGAACCGATATTGGTCAAACTTTGAGGATTGGATATTAAAAAAACTACTGTAGCCCAAGTCCAAATGCTCAACTAAACTTGCATGCTGGAGAAGAAGAAAAGGCATTTGATTGGTATTGGCAGATCCTCTAAACTGAGTATCGGATATGAAAAAGTTGTATGGAGCCATCCTTACACATACTTTACATAATCAAAACTTATTGCTCTGTCTGTCTGTCCTTTCCGTCACTCACAGGTCAGACTGGAGACGGACGCACGCATCTGAACGACAAGTACGGCTACTGAGAGAAAACGGAGAGAGACATGTTTTATGTCCACACTATCATCACAGAATGGAGGATAAGCTAAAAATAGACAAGGTCTGCTGCATCGGAGACAAAAACCTTTTATTTCCTCGTGTTGGACGGTGATTTAACAAAAGGATCCTCGATGCAGGCGGTGATTGTCAGACTGTTGGAATTCTCCATTACAAAGAGTGGCACCTGTATTTTAATATTCATTTTTCTGCAGTACGTGTGTTCCACCTCACGTCTTTTTTTGGCCTCAGTCATTCTCTGGCAAAAGCCTTTTTTCTCCAAAGGAGTGTGTGCACAGAGGGAGGAAGAGTGAGAGCAGCTTTTCTGACCATCTGGACTGTTGGGTGGATTACTGGATAAAATGCAAGCTGATAATGATGAGTGTCTCTGTGTTAACAGCGACACACACACACACACACACTCATTGGCCTTCCTTCTCCAAGTTCTCTTTTTAACATGATAGTCTTTGTGAGTGAGTCAGCCAATGGTGTGTTTGCCACCAGTAGGATAAACTGTTCTCTGTAAATTCTAGTGTTTTATCTGCGTCACTGCCGTACACCTGACCGTAGCTCTTCATGTTGTCTGAAAGATAACAGTGTATTTTCTTATATAAATGTTAAATAAAAATTTTCAAAAACATGTGACTAACTTATTTATAGAACGTAGTCTTAGTCCTGGTTGTTTGAGGTCATCCGTGCCCTTCTCAGGTCATTGCCAATAATAATCTGGGCATCGTCAACTCTGCCCCCTCCAGCTCAGCCTTCTGTCTGTTGGATAGCGTCACTGTGTTCAAACTGTACATCAAAGCAGGTCTCACCATCATCCCATTGACTTTACCTTTCAATTTACAACCTTCACTACTTTCTCCTTACAGCTGCAGCCTTCTACCTACAACATGCTCTTCCACAGGTTTATTCTGTTTTGTTTCTAGCAGCCTCCGTTCGTCTCCAACAAACCTCAAGGTCCACAGAGACTCCTGACTAAACCAAGTGGCAGTTTAGTGCTATCTGTTGGAATAGAGCCAGTTGAAACCAGTCTTCAAATACAAAAGTACTTTCTCCACAACAACACATTTAACTCTTAACATCACCTTACATGCTTTGAACAGATAATCAATTTCTACCATGTTATATGGTGTGATGGATGAAGTTACTTTACAATTAGACGTCTGATGTGAGAAGTCTCTTTTTCGTTATGTTTCTCTTCAAGTATTGACCCTGGACTTTTGGTCTGTTTGAGAGCATAACATCGACACCCTTCTTCCAGACGCCTTCTTCAGATATTGGCAAAGCTGTTCTTAAGACTATCTCACCCTGTTGACTCACTCCGCATTTATACATGACATTCAATCATTCAATCTCAGTCTCAGGAAAAGTGTTAAACAACCTGTGTTAACAAAGAGTGACACAGGAACAATTCCCTCAAAATGAGACCACATGGCATTTATTGTTGTATTTGGTACTAAAGTTGACAGAAATGTGCTGCAATTTTACATTCACTCTGTTTGTATTATACAACTGTTGTAGTGAACTTAGGTGTGACGACATTTTTAAGAAACTCTCAGAAACTTTAAGCTGTTGTACTGACCCGTAAACAGTATCGTTACCACGTTACCAAAACAGATTTCTGACCCATTTGTGACCAATGTCAATAGGTTTTTTTTTGTTTCAATAATAATATATGACTGAAGACTCACTAAGTACATAAAGTTACTGAGGAACCTTTAACATAGTAATCATGTCAGATAAGAAACTTTGAAAGATTTGATTTTCTTCCCTGCAATAGTTTTCTGCAGACTGATAACAACTGAATCCCAACAGCTGTTCTGCTATCACAGGCTCCACCACTACTTCTGAAGAGCCTGTGGAACTGTTGTGTTCCTTTAGATTCCACACACACAGGAAAATGATAAAAGTGATGGTGTTTACCGTGTGGCATTTCCTGAGTGGGCAATAGTTTAGCCACCAAATCTAAGTCCCATACTGTAAGTCATTCTTTGTCTAACTGCAAAAACTGCAAAAATCGGAAAATAAGCAAACAGCTGAGAACAAACGGAAATGAAGTAAGTATAATGTAGTATTCAGCTAATTTCCTCAGGAGCTATGAGGTGGATCCTCACAGGGGATCAGGGAGCTGCAGGGGGCTGCTGTGCTCAGGGAGCGGAAGGCATAGAAAGAGGGGTCATAAGAGTATCTGGGTGGAGGACGGCTGCCAGTCAAATTCTGGGGACACAGAGAGAGAATGGTTTGTTAGACAAGAATGTCGGTATTAACATAGTAGCAGTGCATATTTTACATTAGAAAGATTTCACAGTGCACCACCAAACAAAAATGTCACAAAAGTATGTACTGGAATACAATGATCTTCTAGTTTCAACGTACTCTTAGTTGACTAACTGTTGTAGTATGGGCCTGTTTAGTTGAACACAATGCTGTTACACTCATAGGAATTAAGAAAAGACACACACAAAGATCTCCTCTAATTTATTCATAATTTGATTCAGTAGTAAATAGTGAGTGTAATAGTAAGATCACAACCAGTCAACTATGTCTCCTCTGTGCATTCCAACTACAATCGGGGCGCTGAAGCAGGAAAGAGCTAACGTGTAACAGGCACTGATCGGAAAAAAAGCATTTATTTAATTAAAAGTGAAAAAAAAGATCTTTGTGCAAATATCCCATGTTACAACGTGGACACCTGTGGTTTATAGAAGGCCTAGATACAGTATGTACAAATTCCTTTTTTTTTTTTAAATCAAGTGTGTGCAGCTTATATTCAGGTGCGCTCAATAGTGCGGAAATTACGGTAAATGTTTTCCCTCGCAGACATGTCTTCCTCTAAGCCGAACTCCAATCCATGTAGTTCTACAGGCGCTCTGTCTAAAATTAGCCTTTGTCATTTTCCTCACTGGAGAAATCCACAGGAAATGACTGTGTTGGATTTGGCAGTTAGACAGTACTTTCTCCAGTGCTTGCCAAAAGGGTTTGATGGGGGGTGAAGTTTGTGAGAATAAGAGGACTGGTAAAGATAATAGTGCAAATCCAATATCAATTGTCAGTAAAAATTGTGATACATGGAAACAGCCTCAACAACGGTGCATGTAAGGCTACAGGTGTTACCATGACTCTAATCATCATTAGGGATTCAGCACACACATCTGAGCTGCAGACACACAATAACACTTCTCAGTGCTGCTGGTTCATCTACAGCAGCGGTGCCCAATAAGAAGATCAGGATCTCAAAGGGAGTGCTGCTAGATCCTGAGCAATTACATTTAAAGAAACAAAACATTTAAAATTATAGATTTAATTCTATTTTAAGATGCTAATCACTAGGGCTAAAGTAAGGACCATAGAAGTGTTAAGTCAGACGGTATTTTGCCATACAACTACAGCCATTTAATGAAAGTAGTAAATATATATTTATAGTTCAATGTAGGTAGATCGCTTCACCCCGGTCATTTAAAAAGTAGTTCCTAAGCCGAACAAGTGTGGACACCCCTGATCTACTGTATCTATTTGACTTAACCAGGGAAAAAGTAGAGATTAAATGTTTTTCACATGGTAGCACAGCAGGTTCAACATGATGAGGGTTCAGAAGGGATGAGTGGAGCAAAAGTCACATTAGAGTACACCCCAGTTAGTCCACCCCCAGGTGGACAGTGAAGTAGAAACAAGGGATGGCTCGATACAACTTTTTCATGTCTAATACCAATACTGCAACTTGCAGTATACTCCCAATACCGATATCAATGTCATACCTTCTTTTCTCCACCAGCACGCCATGGACTGCCATTACTGAGGCACTATTGTCCCTGCTTACAGCATGTTGCGTAGAGTTAAGTTGAGAGTTTGGGCATAGGCATCAGATCAGATGGGTTACCGTTGTTTTCTATGATGTCCGATCCTGAAATGTTGACCAATAGCAGACTGGGACTGATCTTGAGCATCAGATCGAGCTATACCTAATTAAAACATGGTAAGAATGAATCATGATTTATCAACTCTGACTTTGGGTTTGCTGAGCTCAAATACTTATGGTCAAGGGCTGTTGCACAGTCACAGAGTAGAGGTATGGCCCCACACTTATGTAGATGACACATCTATAAGCGAGCAGTTAAGCATCAAGTTTAAGATGGCTGAATTTGGGGTTGGATTTTTGATTCACTGGAGGATATAACAATAACTGAGTAGGAGATTGTTTATATTTTGACTGTGTCTCAGAGTGAATGGTGGAATTTCTTGGCCTGATTGAACTGAGTGTTGACCCGACCACACAGAACGTCACACAGAGATTTATGAAGCTTCCTCAGGACATGGATAGATTTAGATAACGAAAGACAAAGTTGGTTGCCATTTGCAAAGATAAGTGTGTACCATGGAACAGTGCCATAACTGTAGCAGCTGTTTGTGATGGGAGACTCCCTTCTTCACATTCTGTGCACAGTGACAAAATGGAGAACTGTGCAAAGTCAGGTGGTCGTCAAGTTCCTTACTGTGAGATCTTAAACCTCACATTCATCGTTCCAGGAAGACCACGGAGATGTTCAACCCAAAACCAGCAGTTCATCTAGCTTTATTATCTATTATGCAGGATATATATACTCACTTGAGTTGCTCACTTAAGAGTTATGCACACCCCTAGTTATTGTGGATAGCTTCTCATTAATCGCACATACAGATACATCAGTTAATCTGACCAGGCTGTGTGGATGTGTACATTGCTGCTGCTTATCAGTTAATCTGACCAGGCAGAGTAGCACCTCTGTTGTATCAACATACATAATCTCCTTGCAAAATGGATGTGTACATTGCTGCTGCTTAGCATGAAGTTGTTGCAATGTTACCTGGCAAGATACGATTGCAAATAACTGCTTTGTTTTGGAGGTTACAGAATACTCCATAAGAACTGTGTGTGGTTTATTTATTACTGAGAAAAAAACAACACCTGGATCAACACCATAACAAAATCTAAGCATAATGAGCAATATCCATGTCTGCCAGTGAGCTAACAACAGACAGCAGACAGCCAAGCTAAAATTGGAAAAATGACTTAATCCCAGTAAAAAGAAGAACACCACCAGGAAACCACACAACCTTTTCCATCTACTCCTCCACTTCTCCCCTAATTCCACTCAGTTTATCTAATAAACAGTCTAAAAATATCAATTACCTCTGACTTTACGTCCAGTTTTTCCAGCTTTTTGTACGTGACTATGTGGGAGATTGCAGCAATCTATATAGTGCTGTTGCTGCTGAGAGTGTAAACAGAGTGTGATGAGTCTTCATTGACAGTAGCCCACACAACGTGATAATAACGTCACATCTCTCACCACACTAAGCATCCTTCTGGAGTGCCCTGCTTTGTGCCAAGATGCCCAGGCCTGTTCCAGTTAGCCTGCCAACATGCTTTCATCATCCATTACAAACAAGATCAAAAGTAAAAAAAAAAATCTCTGTTTACAAAAGCTAGTGCAACAACATTTATGTGTGCTTATATATGCACTTTCCAGACCACACACAGGGAAACTTAGTAACTGAGTTACAGCATTATAAAGTAACTAGTTCCCAGGACAGTGTTGTACCATTTTTTAAAATAAATTCAACTGTTTGTTTTATTTATTATAATAAAACTGAATATTAAATATGTTTATAATTAATTGTAAAATAATAACTGAAACAGACTGTGAATTGAATAATTTATTAAAAGAAAAGACTGATTACTACACCACAAGTTACTTTAAGATCATTTCAGACATGAAAACTATCAAATGGCATGTTGTAGTAGATAGTATCACAAGGATATCTCGATATATAGTTTTTTCAACGACACAAGTACAAGTATTTTTATTTGTGTACTAAACAATGTGGAGTATTGACACCAAAACCTTTTATGGTAGGATTTCAACCCAACTCTGCTGCTTGTTGTTGTTACCATTTACTATGCCCCACTTTCTTACCCCACCCTCTTCCCCCTGCTATCACCAACACAGGAACTTCTAGCTGAGTGCCTGGTCTGATAAAAACATTGTGACTTTGCCTAATTATAGAAAAGCCTTGAATCTTATTGACTGTACCACTAGCTGTGTTTACTGATGGAAAGAGAAATGACTTGTTACATTTTATATTAATTTTTCTTACTGCCCTCATTCACATCACCGTGAATCACAGAGTTTTTATGTCTTCCCTTAAGCCACAGTGAGTTAGCCGATTTACTCTTCAAAAAAAAAAAAAAAACATTCTGACTGAGATTAGAATTTTAGATATGAGTAGTTGAACTGAAAACATGAGACATTGCTGACAGATGCTGTCCCAGCATGCACCTGGATGGACAATAAGCAAATGGCGAGACAGGCTTTAGTGTTCACTGAAGCTCAACATTGGCCATCTGATCTGAACTACCAGTTACAAATAAAGCTTTTGACCAAGTCCCTACAACAGACATGGGTGACAACAGGCTAAGAACCTTGCATGTGACTAAAATCATTATGTTTAATATGAAGTAATAGAAATGCAGTTTTTCATACATATATTCATATAAATAAGTTTTAACCTACAATTTGCAAATAAAAAGTACCAAGTAAACAGAAAAAAAGTCACGAGGACTTTTGAGTGTTCATTAAAAGAGAGTCAAGCGTCATTTTATTACTATGAAAGGAAAAATCCAATCTGGTTCAATGGCTACAGGAAACAAACTTACCCGAATCTTAATGGAGCGTGTTTTGCCTCCGCAGTTCTTTTTCAGCAGCATTTTCTGTAGAGAGAAAAAAAAAAAAAAAATCACGACAATATTTAAGTTTTTCACAAACAATTAGCAGCAGAAGTGGACAATGACAGTCAATTAGACAATGAACTGGGGGGTGCACACTGATCCTTAGCAGACACTAAGTGAAGCTTATGTAATAGCCACTTCCCTCCATGTCACACAGACACAGTGGGGTGGACAGAGCAGACATGAAATCAATCATGAAATTGCCTGGAGTTGGAGAGGGAGAACAGGGAAGAAAGGGAACACAACAGTCCAACTGCTGTGGGGAGGGAGAGAGCTGGTGTACACTTGGCCTCTTGTTCACCTCCTGCCAGAGCTGATCTCTTTTTAATCTTAGCAGGGCTTCTGTCTGGTAGGACAGAAGCTGCTTAAGTCTGAAAGATGGAAACTGGTATTTTGTGTGACTATTAAAATAGGCAGAAATATTTAAAAACAAAAAATGAATTACTTGAGTAAGATGACTGCAAATCCCTCAAATATCTGATACACTGCATCGATCATTTGTTGATTTATGTTCAACAAGGAAACCTTTAGAGGTTTAGTTACTCAATCCATGTATGAGGATGTCTGACTTTACCTACAGACTATTTACCTGTACCTTGGTACCATCTCCCATATTTTATTAAGAAAGTTTTATTCCATCATTCCAATGTATGGCGTTAAAACAAACTTTGCATGGAACTAGATAGCAAGCGGCAAATGAACACGTTGTCACGTGACACTATATATGGAAGACAGTTTTGTTTACATTCGGTTGTACACCGTATGTTGAATTGTGCTACATTTACTTTCTTTTGTTTGTAGAAAGTAAATGTAGCACCCCCCCTTCATTCTGGCTCCCAGGTGTAAGTCAGACTCTTCTGATGTTTATATGTTCTAGATTATGACGTTATCACTGTGTTAGCGTAAGTCATAGGTACATAGGTAAAGTATTCCCCCTATATACTATTGGTATAATCCTAATGAAGTTTACCACACAAGGCCATTTCTGAAATCTACAACGGCATGCCTGTAATTAAATTATTATTTCTCAGCAATAATACCAATCTGTGTTACTAGTATTAAAACAAAGGTTCCATGTCAATGTTTCACAATAAATGAGGATGAATCAAAAAACTATGCAGAATTTTCCAACAACCTTACAGACAAAAACCATGATAGAAAAACCTGCCAACACTGCTCCTGCACCTCTCTCTCATCTCCCCTTTTCAGCCAATTCTGTTCCCTGAATCTTTACTCTAAAAACACAGATACCCTGCAAACACAGGCATTTTAAGCCGTGGTGACAACCTAAAATTCCCCTGCGTTTTAATAATTAGCTGAAGGAACTGCACCAGGGCTTGTTAGAGGCCTTTTCTCTTGTTAGTTTAATCCTTTTCTTCCCTGACATCTGCTGTCCATGCCTGAATCGCCTCAATGGCAACTGTCTAAAGATAGGAGTGAAACACTGTTGAATCTGCACTATCATGAGTGAGTACCCTCCAATCCCTCCTTGATTCATTGTGACTTGATTGAGATCGAATCAAGGCCGGACCAGTCCAACTGCTAACATGACAACCTCCATTCAAAAATGTGTACATACCATTATATAAATGGTGGTCTTGTAATTTCATGATTATATTCAACCTTTAAAAAACATCACAGTTTATTTAAACTAATCTAATAACTAACCTGTTCCATTTTTTTGTCTTTTCAAAAGATCTAACAAAGCATTCATCGATAACTTAAGATAACTAACCTGCTGCATTTTTTCTAGGTCCAAACTGGGTCTTCCTGGATCCCCACCCTGATTGTGCCGATACCTTCTGTAAGGAGCCGTCTGGTCAAAGTGGGTCAAAATGATAGGCTGTGCCACTGGCTGAACCACCTGCAGCTGAAAGCGCAGAGGTGGTTGCTTGAAGCTACATGGTGGACTGGAGCTAACAAGCACTGAACTTTGTGATGCAGCCAAGCAAGTGCCTGGTTCCACCAGCTGTCTAGCAGAGTGAGTCGGTGACCTGCAGGCACAAAGATCCCGCACCTCTTCATCACTGGATGCGCTGCTGAGGTGATCGCCAGTGTGCTGGGAGCGGGTGGACATCCACTTCCTGTTGTCACCATAAGTGATTCTTTCAAGTTCTTCCTCTGAGGAGTGACAATCCAGATTTCCACCTAAAAGAAGGCGAAGGCGCCGTAACCGTGTTGGAGAAAGGGGGCCTTGATTGTGCTGATGACTGGTTGCCAAGGGGGTAAGAGCACCATTTCTACGTCTCTCTAGAAAAGTTGATGAAAACAAAGTAGAAGCAGTCAAGAGCTAAAGGTGAAAGTCAAAAATCAATTTATGAACTTTATAAACTTTATAAAGATTTCTTTAAATGTGCCTTTATGATGTGAATACATAATGGATACAAGTGTCAAAAGTCATCCAAGTGCACTTACCTTTGTCAATCTGTACAAGTTCCTGGTTTTCCCCCTCTGAATCATCACTCTCGAGTCCTTCTTTACTGCCATGGTATGAAATCTGAAATAAAAAGGGTGAATTACTGTAAAACTCTGGTGCCAAAGTCAAAAAGTCACACATACTGTAAAGCTCCTCTTTTACACTTTTCAATTTAAAAAATGATTCGTGAACATTTAGAAAGACTGGTATATTTTGTTAACAAGGCAAAATCTCAGAAAAATGTAGTTAAAGGGGACACGTTTTGCGTCTCGTTTCAAGACAGATTAAAGGGTAACAACAAACAAACACCCAGATCATGCTAATTTCCAAACATACGTTTCACCCAAGGTTAAAAAGGTCTCCACTGCCATCGTTATGCCATTGTAAAGAGATGAGTAGACATTTAGTCGGTTTTTTTGTAGGTAATAGGGCCTACGCAAATATATTAACACGATATTTAGTCAATGTTTCTCACAGAACACAAAACAAACCTAGGTGACTGTGGCAGGGGAAGGGGAGGGCCAATGACTAAGTTGTTCATTCATGTCATGTTTACTCATTGGTAACTTAGCCTTGGTTTACAGTCTACAGAGAGACAGTACATCTGCTTGATGGTCTGACTGACACACATTGGAAATGATAAAATGTTGTTTCTTGTCATTACCTTCATTTTTTTTTATTGTCAAATGAGATTGTGGCTGGCTGGATTTAATCGGAGACACTGTTACTAACTAAAGGAATATTTTAGGATTGGAATTAAGTTGTCAAAATTACACGTATGTCAAAGTGAGGATGTTCATTAATAGTTTAACTACTAGGTCTCCCACTAGGACTTTTAGGATCATCCCAGTCCCTGTTTCATCCACACTGCAGAAATCCTGCACCAGTGTATGTCTCCTCCCACAGATGAACTTAAATTAGCTTCTCTGACAGACAGTACATCAAGTTCACACAACATACATATTAATGACATCTACAGGAATGCTGATCTCAAATGTCACCAATTAAAAGGAACCATTCACGCAACAATACAGTTCTATTACAGCCCCATATGTCTCTAGGGCCTAAAACTGGTTGTGTGTAAACACACAGACAGACAAAGAGTTGTTTAGTGTTTGTGTGTCAACAACAGTTCAATGGAATCCTTCTCAGTTCTAATCTGCTAAGCTGGATCACCGTCATTGCCAAAGCCTGCACACACACACAAAACTAGTTCATAGACGAGCTGTGTGAGCAGCGCGGTCCGACCACACTGCCACAGACACACTTCATTCCATCCTTTCATTATATCATCGGTGGGTGGGGTCTCTTTGCATGTATTGATGCTAGCCTTCTTGTGATTCTTAGAAAACTTGGCATTAACAGGAAAGCAAATAGAAATCTTGACAAATGGTTTGACATATTTTTAAATAAACTGTTCCAACGATAAACCTCAATAATATACAAAATGTACAAAGTACCTTTAAAGTCTGTTTCTGTAATTGCATTTTGTGATAGCACTGAAAATAAAATGCCACATGACAGACCGGAAAGTGTCCTACCAATCTCGTGCCCTCTTGTCTCACGATTTACTTGACGAACAACAAAAAATAAGAGATCAAATATTAATGATAAAAGGTCAAAACTATATTAACTCAGCCAGAAATATATTATTCAGAGCTTGCATTTTCATAAGTGCATGACCCAAATTGTTAATAATTAACATTTAGAAATGATCTTTGTATGTTCAGATTATTTCTATTTGTACTATATTTATGTTGTAGTACTTTTACATTGAATTACTATACATTGTACTTTTTTAATCTGATCATTTTCCTAGAAATGTGCTACATTTATTTGACTGTTTTAAGTCTTTCATATACGTACATGGCAGGGTCAAACTGAAGAAATTACAAAAAAGTAATTGCATTAAAAGAGTGTTAACTGAGAGTTAAGTATTTTTTGCTTTGGTTTTATTAAGAATTTTCTATTTTAATATATGTTAATGAAGAGACATTGTTACAATTGTCTGTTAAAAATGTTTTAAACTAACTTGGAGAAAGGACATGCCACAAAAAGACCTTTGTTCTACTGTCACTTTGCCAAAATGCATTGATGTAATTTAAGAAAGAAAGTTAATTTTAAAACTTTGGAAAAGATTATCATTTAGTCATTCATCATCTAACTCTTAATCTTTGAAAAGGCCATGAGAGGCGCTACTGCATGTCCAACCCCAGCAGTTATCAGGTCAGGGCAGGGTAAACTTTGGACAATTCCCTAGTCCAGTATATAACATAAAGGTGTAGAACAATTCAGACTCATACTCAAAACTATGATAAATTTAGAGCACCCAAATAACCTACTCATAAATGTTTTGGACTGAGAATCCCTGGAGAAACCCCAGGGTGATCATGAGAAACCCACGTGATCATCTTCATTTAAGGCAATCCCACGATCTAATTTGTTCATTGCTGTCTGCTCTAATCAATAAATTAAAATGTTATAAATAGTATATTTAGAAATACACCTCTCAGCCCACCAGTGATCTAAATCTGCTGGTTTTCAGTATTCTCAGGCCTGACTGGTGACTGGCCTGGTCAGCTAACGTATGGCCTGTGTTGCAGCCATGTCTACGCTTACGTTCCATGTTGGAGAAGAGGAGTTAAAGCTCATACTCATGAGTTCAAGCTATTATGTAAGTACTTCACAGTGAGCCAAAAATGTCCAAGCTTGCTATTCGTAATATGGATAACAGTAAAATTAACCACACAGTCATTCTGAGTGACAAACCTAATCCAACCCAGAATTGCAATCAGTGCATCTGAATATATTGTTTCCTTGTGGTTCTGTGCCTGTCCTGGTGGTTGTGGAGTTCTGCTCTCAGCAATACTAGAAAACTATACTAGCCATCAATGTTTAGCTTTTATCCACAGGCATTCCACAAATTATTTCGCCCTAATCTTTAAGTCTTGATTTGCTTCCCTCAACTCATCAGAAAAATGACTACTACATAAATGAAAAGCAGTTGATTTTTCCATAGGTCTGAGATACATATATATCGTATATGTGAAATTGGTAAATGTCAAGAAATACAGACATTACTAACATAAGGAACATAAGTAACGATATTGGTTACAAAATGTATATATTTTTCTGGTATTGTTGTTGTTTGGACTTGTGTTTTTAGTTTTATACTTTCCCTTTAATATACATAGTTATTTTCTGAGGGGGTGCGCAGGCCTGTAGACAGGTGCAGAGGGGTGGTGGGGTGGGTGATTGGATGGTTCAGGTTGGGGTGTCATTTCTCCTTACTTAAAGCTTATGAATATTCTGATGCTGTAAACCTCGTTTACTATTGTTTTGTGGTATATTTTCCTTTATGCATTAATAAAAGAAAAAAAACATTATACAGATGTTTACTATTGTTTTGTGGTATCTCATTTTCCTTTATGCAATAATAAAAGAAAAAAAACATTATACAGATTATGAAAAACTACAAATTAATTCTAGTCTTTTTTAACTCACTGAACAAATGCACAAATGCTCATTACATTTTAAATAAAGGACAGGTTGTAGTCGACAAAGTATTGACCCAGCACTCTCTCTGGCCCCGTGCGTGCGCGCGCGTGTGCGTGTTGAAGTAAAAAGGGGAGTGTGTTGAAGGTATTACTAGCCCGGAGGTTGCAACCTGTGCGTGTTTAAAGGAGCGCTCACAACCGACCACAAAACCAGGTCATGCTAAAACAATGAGTAAAGTGTGTTTTGGTTGAATTATAGAGTAGCGTGACCGTCGGTGACGACAGTGTGAAGCAGTGACACTTACCTTCAACTGGAAAGGATGGATTTCATTGAGGGAATGTCTTCTTAGCTTCTTCGTCAGAGTCTTTAGCATGTTGAGGTTGTGAGGGGGGAAGAAAAATCAACTTATGGCTTATTATTCCACTTGTCCCGTTTACTTCTGTGTGTCTACGTCTGAACTTGTTTGGCTAACCTAAGCCACAAAAACACATGAGAAAAGTACCACACGGGGGTCGCCGTTACCGTTTTACCCAACCGTTACAGAAGAATATAACAGTGTGGTCCAAACTCTGCAACTTAAAAGTTAGCTTTCGTCGCAATACGACACGGCGACATGGATGGAACTGCGTCAGTGTGGCATGTTTTCACGGGCTGCCTGAAGCAAGCTTGTTATTTTCCACTTCGTTTGAGTCTACGTTGTAGTTGAGTCTTCGCGGTTGTCATTGTTTTTATTCCTGTGAAGGAAGTCACCGCTCACATCGCCTCACTACCTCCACGACTTCATTTAAGAGCGTTCGGGCAAGAAAAAGAAAGAAATATGCAAAAGCATCATGATAGTAATACGCGCACACACACACGCTCTCACACACACGCACACACAAACACACACACGCTCTCACACACACGCACTCACACTTACACACAGTCAGATGTACAACAGACACGCAGACAAACACAGTCCTCCTACGGCCTGATCGTACTCTGCTCCTATTGGCTAAAAGTCCAAGCCACTCACTCGGGAGGAGAAAGAGAGAGAGAGGGACTTTAAAGCAACACCTCGTATTTAACAACTCCTTCCCTATCATACTGTTTGTAGTAAAAGTAGTAGTAGTAGCAGAAACCTGTTTAGCTGAAACCAATGTACATATTGTTAACATTATGTAGCATTTATAAAACTGAAATAAAAAAAAAAGTGCTCACTATTACTCATTGGTGGATTAATAACAGCCACAACATACATTCTACAATAAAAGTCCCTGGTAAACAACAGCATTAAAGAAGAAAGATATTGATTACTATAGAAGTGATGTTAAAGGATTAAAGGATAAGTCAAACAACCAAGATTACCAAGAACAAACTAAACTTTTAAAAACAAATAGGCCATCAGCTAGGTATCTATTTATCTTGAGGAGGGACCAGGAGTTTGTTCCAGCTATTTGCCTGGGTATAGGGTGCAATGATGATATGATAATAATATGCATACATACATAAACGTCAATGTCAGCCGTATCCTGGGGGCCCTTCCAGTTCAGAGCCCTAGGCATCGAAATTGTAGAAATGATGTTTCAGTTAAATAAACTGCCAGTGAACTCTAAATTAAAGGTACAAATGTTCCTAAAAGATTAGGTCACTATAGGAAATAAAGGATAGGAGAAAGGTTGGCAGGGCAGCCAAGAGGAAGCACCACAACGGCACTGAACTAACTACTGAACATCAGCCTTGACACAGCAGCTAAAACAAGGCATCCTCACAGTTCAAATTAAGCTAACCTTATCTTCAGGAGGTGAGAAACAACATGTCAGTTCAGCCCTGGTTCAACATCTGGTCCCACACACACACATAGATATGAAAGTACACACTGGAGAAATTCTACTGCTACTCTTTGTAAAATATATTTGGTGTATAACATTTTAGTTTTACATATTTTAGGCTGAACAGGGGCTATTATTGTGTACTTAACACTGACCGACAACTAGCCATTTTAGACGCAAGATTTTTTTATAAAGATTGACAGGATAGAACTAAAGATCAGCACGGCAGCTGGAAAAAAGGTCATGGCAGGAAGCCATGTTAGAGCGTAAGATCAGCACGGCGGCTGGGAAAGAACAGACCTAGTGTCACTTACCTTGTATCACTTTTTAACCGCGCAACTAATCACAATTTACTACCGCTTCCTCAGGCTGATCGTCTTTCTCCAGGAGAAAAGCTGAAAGAAAAGTGGTTATGGCATGGCAGCCAGGCAACCCCCCCTGTTTTTTTGTTTTTAAACTTGTCCACATAGATTTAACTTTTTTGTTAAATTAGATGTACAGATAGTACGCACCATTGTTCAGCCATATCTCAATAAATAAATTTAGCTTCATTAGAGAAATACCAGTGCTAATGCATAATTATTAATATGTCATCTTTATTTCTGACTAAGGACAGGGACAGATGGAGGCTGACAGGATAGCCATCCGGAGAAGGAAAGAAAAATGTTTTGGACTCACCCTTTGTCGACAGGACCTAAAAAGTAATAATTGTTACTGCACATTTTGAGCCAGATCATTCACACTCAATGACTACAAACTGCTGAGCCTAAAACCACTCTAGTCATTCCAACACCCCATCACACTGCAGACATTCCATTAACTACAAATACTGAACCACCACGGTCAGAAACCAGAGCCAGAGCCAACATTTACCTACATGCTCAGCAGTTCCACATCCACACCATCAGAAAGGGACCAGAGTCACAACAACCATGAGCAGAGAGCCAGCCACCTGTGAGACTCCCCTGATTGGCTAACCTGTTTATGGCTCCTGCTCCAGAACCCATATTCTACAGCCTATTAACTCAAGACAAGAAAACCAGAATGGAAACAAGGACAAGAGATGTGGCCATTTACATTTTGTTTGTACTGCCATGTTTCACACACAAACACACGTACAGCCAGGCACAGCGGCCTCAAACCACAGCTGGGGAACAGCCGCCCCACAGAATGAAAGAACAACGATGTTCCTTACTGTGTTGAAGATCTTCAGGATGATCAATCTGGAATAGAAACCAAAGTCAGAGAAGAGCGATGTTAACTGCCGAAGTTTTGCTGCGAGCACATTCGTCAAATCATTTTACTTTTCTGCCCATATCCATAATTTTCTTGTTAAACAAAAAACCCGAGTTTGACTCCACAGATTTCTTACCTCGTCTTTTATTTTGAGTAGTTCACAGCCTGACGTTGAGAACTTCGATCTGGCCTCCGTGCGCAGAAATCCCAGCGTATCTGTTCATTTCAAACAAGGTTGAAGACAAATTTAACACAACGTAAACCGTTTCTTTAAATATGGTACTGTAGAAGATACTGAAGCTGTACTTTCTACACTAAAATTGTAAAATACGGTTCAATAAGCAAACACATTCTGGCGCCGGTCAGCCATTTTAATTAGCAAAAACGAAATAAAACGTTTTCGAAGTCGAAGCTATTTCGCTAAAGTAAATAAATGGAGACAAAACGCCGACGTCAGGGAATAAAAATCCAAAAGTCCTTCACCTTTTCATCAGAGTTCATCTGGACCGGGTCCACTCGCAATTAAGGCATATTTTCATCCACCTGTGGATTTTCAAAGCGCGTGGTGACCTTTTCAACGTCTGACGTCACGCGCCGCTGCTGTTTACATTTTTTTTCTATTGTCTGTTTTGCTGCATCTATGTGACGTCACTAAACCGAAATAAATATGGTATGAGGATTATAAGGAGAATTTTCGAAAACTTCTCCGATAGAAACACCTGTTGACGTAACTATAGTCAGATGGCGCCTCAGCAGAAATGTTCTTCTGTCAAACAAGAAAATAATATTACTACAACTAAAACAGCCAATAAAATAGTCACCTACACGAATTAAAGGAGAGAGAAAAAATCAATAACAAAATATAACACTAAACACTGAACCCATTTAAGAGCATATTCTCTCCCAGACTTCTTTTTGAGTTGTAACCGTTTCAGCCACAAGAGGGCACAACTTTCCTTCTTTTGAAACCAAACACTTACGCATGTCCTTTCGACCTTATTATGCAACCATGAAGGAACAATTTAAATTATAATATGAACAATTTTGGACTAAATTCATTATCTAATTAATTTTTTAATATTTTATTTATTTTTCAGTAACTTGGTCAAATCTAAGATCATAAATATCCTTTTTTCAATACTGAAAACCTGATAAATTGTTGGTCTATAAAATGATGCACAAGTTCATCTTTGTCTCTGTAGCACAATATCCACACAGGTGTTGATTTACAAACCAAAAGAGAATACAAGAGAAGAGGGATGGGAAAATCAATACCTGACATCACCTTTATATGGCGTTCTAATAACAATTATTAACCACTTTTGTCCAAATATGGTTTTATGTCATATTCAGGAAATGGCTTTCATCATTGTGATGACTGCAGATGGAAATATCTGGGATGAAAAAGCTGACGTGTTCTCACGGCTGTGATGTCAACATCTCCTTTGGCAGCTGTTTAACATTGCTTAAATAGTTGATGACAAATCAACCGGCTGACTTCTCAGCATCGCTCTGTCTGTTTTTAGCAACACATGCTGTAGAAGCCACTTGGCCTTGGTAGTCCTTGTCTTCCTCTTTCCTGCCGCCTACGTCGCCCACACTCTCACTGGGATAGCGGCAGATAGCAACAGCCTCTCACATCCGATCCCCTTTTATTCCTCCCTCACCCACTGACCTACTGGAGGAAAGCGTGGGGGCCATCTGTGATGGAGAGGTTACTTTTAGTCTCGGAGGCGGCTATTTTTTTTTAATCTCTTGATTTTTTTATTTTTAACAAAGAACTGAGCTTTTCTTACATAACTATTTTTTTCTCTTTGTTTCTCTCTTGCAGTGTTTTACAGGAGCAATTTACAGTACACGTCAGCACACACACACTGCCCATGGTAGCTCGCATAGACGGATAGAACAAGTGCTAGACTGGGGCACAGAAGAATTGTCCACATAAGTAAAAGTCAATATAGGTTTAAATAGCAAAGGCTTTAAGGTTTTTTTTAGTAGGATAATTGTGTATTTTGGATAAGGGTGTCAGATTTTTGAAAAATGATGTAAACATTTGGGTAAAATCCATCCATCCATCCATTTTCATCCGCTTATTCGTTACCGGGTCGCGGGGGCAGCAGTCTCTAAATCACACTGCACCGCACCAACCCCCCCTGAACCTTCCTGCAGGTGGTGAGACCACTGGAAGGTACCAACCACCCTAACCGGGATTCAATCTTGCCCAGGAGGTGAACCCTGGGGTTACACACCAATGACAGAGACATTGACTCTGGACCAAAGTGCCACTTTGATAAAATTGAATTTAGAAAAAAAAAATTAGACATTATTAGTTATTTTAGCGTGGATACAAAATGGGACAGATAAAACTGTCAAATCATTATTATCATTCACCATGCACTGTGATTACTGTGCTGACTAGATCACTATCTAGAAATATTTACCTAATTAAGTTAAGAGATTCGATAGAGAGAGTATAGAGAGTATTTATTTAAAACTGCACTTTCAAAAAGGTCGATTTATTGCGAAAAACAGTAAAAGCATGTGTCACAAATGTTGCTCAGTTTAAAAATAGTAGGTGGTTAGCTAAATTTGTCATGTGAAAATATGAAGTCAGTTTTTTTAGACGCTGACTTTCAAAGATTGATATTTCTGCTGACTCCAGTGGAAAATAACAGAAATAAACTTGACTGCAGGTTTGACAGCAGTTGACCACATGTCAGACCTCTGCAATAAAATCATAGCTATTCTTAACACATGACATCACTGCAGGACAAACAATACAGCCAAACCAAATCTGGAAAATGTCTGTGACACTGTGTAATTAAATCATGTGCGCACATTTGTTCC